CCCGCCCCCTGGGGGCCCCCCCGGCAGGCCGGGACACGCACGGCCCGGGCTGTGGCTGCGTGGGGGCTGGTCTCTGTGGTGTCCCTGCGGGTAGCTGCTGCGCTGCCTGGGGGCTAGTGTGTCCCTGTCCTCGCTGTGGCTGGCTGCTGTGCCAAGTGAAGGGAAAGGCCCTGGTCCTGCCAGGGCTCGCTTTGGCATGGGCCTGTCGTGGGTTGTATTGGTGCTGAGGTGATGCTGGCAGATTTTATCTTGTTGTGCCCCAAGCCAGCCAGGCTGTGCTGACCTGAGGCAGATGGGCACCCAAGGGGATGCTGTGGAGATGGTGTGCTGGGGGGCCAAGCAATGGTACAGGGAGATGCCAGTACTCCCCTGCCTCCTGCTACGTGTGAGGTATGAGGTGGGACAGCCCTGCTGCATGAGCTTGTAGCAAAGCCTCTGTCCATGCTGACTCAGCACTAACTGTGTGGAGTTCTGCAGTCTTCTGGGGACACACTGGTCTGCAGCTCCCCTGGATCCTGCTACTTGAAGATATTCAGATGCTTGCCTTTGTCCAGCTTTTGGGAACCTCCCTTGATCTCCGTGACCTTAGAAAAAGACTTGCCTCCAGTAAGATCAGCAAGTTTCCACAGCACCCTCAGGTGCATCCAGTGGACGTGTATATAGCTAATGTTCAGTGACATTGCACTGAAGCTATTCCATGCTCTGTGGGAGACTGTTAAGCTGTTTGTGCTGATTTAATACTGGACACCTCAATGACATGAGCTGTAGTGTCTTGACTGTCCTATCTGGGGTGGAAATCTGTGAAGTCTCGCTCTTGTCTGATTTGGAAAGTGAAGGTGGAGAGTGCAGCAGGGGAGCCTGGCCCTCCCTGTGCATCTGCTGCAGCTGAGCCTTAGCTCTCACCTGGCAAGCACTAATTGGGGTCTGGGGAATGTATTTGGCTCTGTTACACAGCTGCAAGCACTTCATGGCTGCAAAGCTCTTGCTGTGAGACAGTTGTTTCTGTGCTCTGTGCAGTGACGTTGCATGTGGGACTCAACCCTTCCAGTGCTCTAGTAGAGAGGATCCTGGGTTATTTGAGGCTGTGCGTGGAGATGCTGATAAATCTCAAAAGGGACTTGACTGGTCTGCAGTTGGACTGAGTCTCTTCACTCCAAGATAAAGCAGAGAAAGCTTTAACATGAACAAGTGGCTCCCAAGAGGCTGTGAATTTTCTCCAGTTGAAAGCTGGTAGTGACTCAGCTGGATACTTCATGGTACAGGCAATTAACTGTAAGATAATGTGACTCTGTTCTGAGGGCTGAAGGTCAGCTGTGCTCCCTGCAGCCCTTCCCAAGCTGTGGTTCTGAACTGTGCTGGTCCAGGCTCTGACCCCAGGCCTCTCCTTCACAAGATCCAAGCTTTGTTTCAGATGTGTAGAGGCTGGCCAGGATGGTGTTCAGCTTCTGACCTTTGTGTGCAGACACAGAGAATCCCTGTCTGCTTTGACATGCTAAACCTGATGTTAAAGCCAATGTCCCTGGATGCAGCAGAGCTGATCATCTGCTCCAGGTGGAGGTATCCAAACACGAGGGACTGGAGCATACTGAATTGCTGAGGCTGGTGCTGCGAAGGAAATCGGAAGAACACCAAGAAGCTCCTGACCACTAAGCTACCACTGCCTTCTGGATGTTGTTGCTGAATTTGCAAGCAACTGCAGACTATACTCTGCACGTTCTCCAGAGCTTCTGAATCAATGTGGTGTCTGGCAGCTACTGTAGACCACTTGGATTTGGACCCAAGCAAGCGTCCCAGATATCCTGTGGGTCAACTTGTTAGTCCTGCTGCCTACCAGTGTAACCTGGCCAGCCAGAAGCAAGAAATGCCTTGGATGAACCTCTTCCAAGGTCCCCTTGACAAACTTAGACTGTAACTGAAGCCCTGTGAATGAACTGAGCCTTGGTGACTGTCATGACTTGCCTGTAACTAGTCAGTCGGAGGTAGCTAGGGAATTGGCCCTACCTAATTCTAACCCTGTAACATTTCTTCTGTGGAAGTTGCCATGCTGTGCTCTGTACTCCCACCTATCCTGCTACCCTCAAACTCCCTGGCTTTGTTTAATCCACCTCAGGGAGGTCTACCTTTCCCATATTGACTACCGCAAAGATGTGACATCTCACTTGTCTGAGGTTCCTGCTGCCAAGGGAACAGGGCACCGGCACAAGTAACACTCCAGTAGCAATGCTGAGCAGCCTGTCAGGTGTGGGAGGGGACCACACTCTTGGCTTGTCTGGGAAGTGCCCAGACTAAGGGTAGCACTGCCGGTGCCAGTGGCTCTTGCTGGCGGGCTCAGCCAGATTCCCAAATGTTCCTAGTGCTGCTGCTGCTCCTCCTCCTGCTGCCAGGAGAAGAGTCCAACTGCTCAGTGGCAGCAAGCAAACCCCAAGGACGTTACCCGCAGCTGCTCCTTCCCAATCCTGCTGTCCCTCTCCATGAGGGTAGATGTGACTGAGGAACGCCTGCAGAGCAGGCCAGCCTCATGCCCTGACCAGAGTAGGCAGGGAGTTGAAACTAGCCTTTGACCATCTGGGAAGTGGTCCTCACAGTGCTTCTCACAAACCAGGGGAACAATCGGTCCCTCCAGTGAATGCAGAGGTGTTGGCAAGCAGGGGTGAGTCCAGCAGAGCCCGCAGGATGGGGAAGGGGACTGGAGCCCAGAGTGTACAAGGAGAGGCTGAGGGAGCCGGGCTTTTTCAGTTTAGAGAAGAGAAGATTGAGGGAGAAGAGCCTAATCCACTGTCTTGGATTACCTAATGTTGGGAGCAGAAAAGATAGAGGTGCAAAGCAGAAGGATATAGTGATGGGGAGGATCTGCAGCAAGGGAAATGCTGATCTCCACAAGGAAAAACTTTGATGAGGAGGGTGGCGAGAAGCTCAGGGCAAGCTTCAGTGTTCACCCTGCTTTGAGCAGTATCTGGTTACCCCTGCAGCCTCTGCTTGATGACGAGAGCCCGGATGCCACCACAGTGGGCTGTGCTCTGCTCTGTCCTAGCACCAAGTCTGCAGAACAGCTGGGCTGGGGATGAGGCTGGGGGAGAGGGGGGCAGGGGTGACAGTATCTGCATTTCCCCCCCTGCCCCCCAGTGCCACAGCCTTGAGTTGGGTCCTGCTTCCCGTGGCCCCGGCTCTGCTCTCAAGGCCTAGGGCACACCTGGGGACAAACCTCTCCCTCTCTAGTGTGTCCATGTCACACAGGCAGGTTGGAGCTGCCCAGCCTCCCTGCGCTCGGCCAGCCCACTGAGCTGCCACCCCAGCTGTGGCCATCTGGAGATAGGAAGCCCTGCCTTGGGGCAGTCCCAAACTACCTGTGGAGATAGCATTGCCTGGATTTGATTGCACCAGTACAGCCTGGGGGGAGTGAGGGATCTGTGTTTGAAACCACCTGCAGCCTCTCTTTCTTGGGGACTGGTGTCACTTAGCTCCAGGGGTGCACTATGCTTGAGGGGCAGGCTGAGTGCAGCAGCCTTGACAATGGGGGAAGCCCTCAGCTCGGGACGGGGCTTTTCCATTTCGGGGGCCAAGGCAGCGCAGGAGCCCTCTCAACGCTGCTGGCTAATCCCAGCTTGCCGGGCCTGCTGCCAGCACCCTGGTAGGGCTATGGGGTGGCAGCTGCCCAGGCCTGCTCCAGCGTGTGAGCCAAGGGCTGCTTCGGGCCAGCTGGGGGAATGAGGCCAGACACGGTGGCCCTGTGACCTGCTCTGCTGCAGGGCTAATCGCTGCTCTGAGGGTGACCTGGGAGCGTGCTCCTGGCGTGGTGCAGAGCAGAGCTGGGGCAGGGCCGGGCCTTCCTGCCCAGCCTGAGTGGGCTTAGGCATACGGCTGAGCGCACCATGCTCTGCAGCAGAGGCAGGGGCCCTAGCTCTGGCTCCAGGGGGAGAGGAGATGGGTGCGAGGAGTTGGGGTTTTTTGCAGAGGCCATCCCTCTGTGTGGGGCTATGTGCAGTGACAGTTCCCAGTCCCCCATGGCACACACAGTTCTGGGGGATGTGATGGGAAGATCCTTGTTTGTAGCAGTGTCACAGAGGTAGGGAGCCGTCAGGACTGCAAGAAACCTGAGGCC